AATGCGTTCAAACACAACAAAGAAAGACTCAACTTCCGACTCTTCAAAAACAGGAATAAGAGAAATATGTTCTGTTACATCAAAATGTATTTCAGAATTCAAAGAGGAACATGGACAAGCAGAAAAAACTGAAGACATCGTTGCTACACTGTAGGAAATTACAAAACACTGGCAGCTACCAATGTCTTATCCCTATAAGCCACCGCTAAATTTCTTAACAAAATGAACAAACTGGGTTACACTCACCGCAATAGTGAACCAGGTAAATTTGTTGCCGGATGCCAAACACTAGATTCCAAAACACAACTAGCCAACACACAAACACAACTTCCTCAGAACCTGCCTAACACAAACTTACCTAACTGTCTTCTGGGACCTGCCGGGCTCAAGGTGAATTTAAAGGCTGCATCAATGGCCGAAGCCTCGAAATGCCTACCCCCCCACCAGGGAACGTACTCCCCACCCAGGATTTGTCCCGAAAATAAGAAAGGCAAAACAAAAAAATTAGTGGCCGAAGGACATACCAGAAGAATGTCTTGAAGGCTGCAGGGCAAATAATTGATACCATAACCTGTCATCATGAAAATACACTGCAATGAAAAAAGACAATGTCTGCCCATGTATGCGATTCCTTATGTTTTCAAGACTATATGAACTGTTGTATGAATTGGGCGGTAAGGTGATGCAGCTCTGATGGTTGCAAATTTGAGTTTTCTTTTTTATTTAAACAACTTGTTTCACTTTAGCTGTTGCTGTAAATCAGCTGGTTTTTAAGTCTAGATATCTTTTTGCTTTGGCATTGTTTTTTTTTTTTTATAATTCTGAATCACCTGTTACATCTAGAGAGTTAAATAAAAATATTCAAAATACGGCACTGATAGCCTCGTTTAATCTATTATTTATAATTTAGGAAAACTAATATTTCTACATTCCTTTCATCGACTGTCAGGAACAACATGAGAAAAGAATCTGATTGTATTGCCTCAGGAACAAATAAAGTTCAGCAAGTTGATTTTTAAGGTTGAAAAGTTACATATTGGGGCTTTAAGTGAAATGGTTTTAGTTCTATGCAATGCATGTGTCAAAGTGCTGACCGGGGGGACAAAAGCCCTCCTGGCCAAGGTGTGGTGAAACAGGCACATCATGTTTTTTAGGTAACCCTTTTGCAGTTATTTTTTGTGCTGGTAAACAAAAACCACTACCTGTTAGAAAAGATTCTTTGCTCTTACATTTGAGGTAGGGTCAGGGAGAATGGTAGCAGCTATGGAGGAACTAGTTTTTTTTTCCCGTAAACAAATTTAAAAAAAAAGAGAAAAATACAGCATAATGATAAAAAAACGAACTAAATTTCAGATAATTAAAATACACACTTGTATGTGATGCTACATACATTCAAAGAACTTTAAAGCAGTTTATCACAGGACTTTGAAAAACACTAAGGGGGAACTACATTTATTTGGATTTCTGCCTATAGTGTCTTCTGAATCAATCTAAGAGTGTTTCCAAAGAACCACCTGTCTTGTGGTGATATGAAGTCAGGAGACTTATTTAGAACTATTGGCCCCTGATCATGGTAGCAGCTGAAGGTTCGAAACAGCACTTTGCTGCATGTCATCCCGCATTCTCTCCGACATTTCCTGTCTCTCTTCAGCTGGCCTATCTAATAAAGGCAAAAAGGCCTGAAAAACACAACTTTAAAAAATAATAATGTTGGCCTTTTCCCTGGGGCATACATGAATTATGTACATACTTAAATACTTTTAGCTCATGAAATATTTGGACCCTTTTTAATTGACCTGTTCATTCAGTTCCAAATCAATATCACAATAAAAACTGTTCTTACAGGTTAAAGGTTAACTAATGAGCTTCTTTGTTAACAGACAAAGTAATGTTTAACTTTATCCTCAAATACATTCAAAGCAGCAGGCTATTACCTCATATTCGACACACTCATTTTAAATATCTCAAAACCAGCAGTTTTGCCATCTGTGTTTGCTGGTTGCATGTGCTACTGCGTCTTTGTTTGCCAATACAACCTCCTCTTTAATGCTGTGGTTAAACCAGACTTCACTTCACATTCAATTATAAATGAATGACATACTTTTTTGCAATTTGCAATATGTGAGTGAACTGTTGTTCGCATCATGACGATTTCATGCTTATTGAACACTGACGTGCTAAGTCACATGGCTCTTCCATACATGAGCGCATGTAAAATACTACAAGAAGCAGCAAAGATGGGGAACACTGTTAGATTACAGTGCAGTTGAAGGAAAATTATGGTTTATTACAAAGTATTTAATAAAAAGCTGTAAGGTTTGTTGTTTGTTGATTTTCTGTTTGCCTGCTAGCCATGTTAGCTCCTTCAAATCACACAAGTAAAAATGTAAAAACCCTTGAAGGGTTTCCAACCAATCACAGGGCTAAAATGTATGATGTGTCCCAATTCAGCATCATTTGAAGGACCCAGAATGCTTCAGTCTTCGTAGCCAGTGATAGGCTCAGGCCTATTTGAAATAAGATGGTCAGGTCTGCTGAGTACTCCCCGTATGTCACCTGCTGTCCCCGTCCTTACCCTTTTGTAATAGTCGACCCTGTCAGCTTGTTTTAATTTTACATTTACATTATTGTATTTTTTTACATTATTGTATTGTTTTTTATTTAAATGATGTAAATATGTTTGATCTGTTTTCAACTTCTATTTTTATTTTTTATAAGTATATTCCCGTCCCCTTTTCTGGAGCTGCTGTAATGCACAAATTTCCACCACGGGGGATCAATAAAGTTGATCTTTAATTGGCACTCATTGATTAGTTCGCTCATTGATATGTTGGGCCGAGCATGCTCAGGGAGAACATGCAAACTCCACACAGAAAGGCCCCAGCTGGGTTTTTCGAACCAGGAACCTTCTTGCTGTGAGACGACAGCGCTGATACTGTACATATCATGCCTTGTCAAATCTTGCCCAATAAAACTTAAAACAGGAAGTAAGCAATCATTTAGTGCGCCACTATAAAGGCATACGCAGTGCTGCAAGCAAACATAGCTAATACAAAACATACAAGTATTGTTCCAAAGCAAACCTTACATGATTGTTTCACTCTTCATTCTTAAGAGATGATTGTGGTTATGATTCAGTAGGTTATGTACTGTGAAACAGCCACCTGCTGCTTTGTATCAATGATACATACAGTAAACGTTGAATTAAGCCAAAATCAGACTGTATTGTGGTAGCATTTGTTGTAAAAACTGAAACTGGGTAATGCGGTTGACTCTTTGATATGCACACAACTGTGGTTAAAGCCTCCTTCTTCTTGGCCTTGGCAGGATCAGGACACATGTAGGATAGTGTTACTATTTAAATAAAACATCAACTTAACTGAGGGAGTTTCGGTACACTATACCTACCTGGCAAAAAGACATGTCAGGCTATATTTGCAGAGAAAATTAATTAAAAAAAAAAAAGGTATGATGTGGTTACAACAAAGTGTACATTGATTCCTGCGGTATCCTTTCCTTCTTTATCATCTGACACAAGACAATGTGAGGAATATCTACAACAGGCTCCTGTCCTACCTTTACTATTATAAAGATAGAATGATTATCAAAGTTGGAATAAAATGTAAGAGTGGCAATATGTAATTTTGATACAAGTTTTGCAGAAACAAAAAGTGTGGCCTTTCCTGTTTCAACATAAAGAAAAATGTGTCTCCTCCCTTTTGCTTAATTGCTGTGCTAGAGCCCCTTTCTCCTTGTTTAGTCACAGGCAAACACACAAAAACACAGTCATAGAAAATTCCTAAAGAGACCGCAAGACACCATGCAATAAATTTTCATTTGTGGTGAGGGACAAATTCATTTTTTGTTTTTTTTCTAAGCATTTGTATATCATCAGTCTGCCTTTAAGTGTGTGTGTGTGTGTGTGTGTGTGTGTGTGTGTGTGTGTGTGTGTGTGTGTGTAGAGTCTCGCACAAAAGAAGTTTGTCCAGGCGACAGGAGGTGTAAAGCTCTGTGACACGACCTCTCTCTCTCTCTCTCTCTCTCTCTCTCTCATTTAATATCGTCCAAGCTCATTGTCAAAGAGGGGACAGGGAAGATACGTTTGACATGGAAGTTACTGTGAGTTAATAGGCCTGCGCCATACGTTTTTTAAATGCTTCATCAATTGCTAAAGGAAAGTAAGTTAAGGACGTCCAGGAAGAAAAGAAGCCGACAATCATGAGGGATCCAGGGACTGGCTCAGGTAGAAATGTGCTGAAAAGGTAAGAACGTCAAATCCCAGTAATTGCCTTCAAATTAAAACAAGACGTTTAGGCTAACATACATAACATATTGTGCAGAACATCAGGGTGTAAAGTGAGAAAAGTTGTTGTCTTATAATAAAAAGATTACTCGCCATCTCTCATCCCCCCCCCACATGTAAATTATCCTATCCTAAATTCAATTGCTCACATTTGGAGAGCTGATGACATTTCGTATTTAAAGCAAAAAATGCGGGGTATGTGATAAGACCTGCTGGCCACACCCAGGCAAACCATTCTCGGACTGTCCGACTCAGTGTCATCTCTAAATCGGCACAATGAGAAAACAATAAGCCACAGTAACTGGACCGTGCTTTATCTGATGTTTATTCCGATGAACAATCTTCTCTAGCATCCAAGGTTACTGGTTCTTCAGTGTCAGAGAGATGTCTATTTTACTCATTTTACTTCCCTCAAGGGTCTAATAAGAATCACAACTTAAATGTGCAGGAAGTGACAATCGCATTTTCTTTAGGCTGGAAAAACAATTTAAAAACAGAAGTAGCATATTGCCTAAGATTTTTTTTATTTATTTTTTTTATTTATTTTATTTACTGTGCTACGAATTTTAAAGAGACCCAGATATATCATATTCATTTATTTTTTTTCCATTTCAGCCAACCGCCCGCGCTTTTCACCCTCAGCTGTAACATATCCTATATCAGACGCACCCACTCCTCACCTGTCGCTCAATTTAAGCAATTAAGTCGCCTAGCAATCACCTTTTACCCGGTTGCGTCAGCGGTTAACTCACGCAGCCCAAGCTTCTTTAAAAAGTGAAAACACCATAAAATGTCACTGGTGCCGTTTCACGAAATCACGGCGGAGCGTGCCGGTCTGACAGCTCCTGCTGCCCGCGTCATCACACTCACCTGGCGGAACTTCTTCGTGTCTGCTCTCTGCTTCAGCAGGCGAGCACAGAGGGCATTGGTAGACGTCCTCCTGTCCACGTCACCTCGGGGACCACGGAGTGTCGTTAGGTTTTTCCCCACTGAGGTGGAGGGAATCGCTGCGGCACATCAGTAAGATTCCAGGCCGCAGATTGTTTAGTGCTTGTTGTGCATGTGTGTTTGGTGGGAGCAGGTTCCCAGACTTAATTTGTTTGACTGAGTCTGGCCTGCTGCCATTTAGTCCACACCTGGTCTCATGTTGGTCCCCTTTTCGATAGACTAGGCCTATTTGTTTGAGTATTTTGATTAAAAACAACGAAAAATGAAACCACAATAAGTCGCCCTATTTAAAACCCAGTAAATTAATTCTGAAGTTAGCTCTGTAGGCAACATGATTAGGATCAGGACAACGCTTGTCTTTTTCAGTGAGAAATGCTCAAAAGTGTGATTTCAAAGATGGAAACATGACACTGTCTTGCTCGGGATGCATTATTTGTCTATGTTTAAGATTGTAGCACAAGTGAGACAGCCATTCAATGTTCTTACTCTTAATGTTTCACATTCCGGTGCAAATATTTGAACTAAAGGCAGCGGCCTGTCTAATGGCTTGCTTATATCCTTATTTCCTAATAAACTAGATACATTTGAGAAATCCTGTAGGCCAACGTGCGAGCATTGCCCTGAAAGATGAGCTAAGATATCTTTCAGGGATGTTGACTACAAGAGAAATCTCAAAATCTAACCTGATAAATGCAAAAGTCCATGGAATTTGCTTTAGTACATTTTTGGGATCTGACTAAACACCCTTTTTAAAAGATAAAATCATCATGTATGTTTTGAGGTCATCGCCTACATTTTTACTTGTGTTTTGGAATAATAGTACAAAAAGATAGTGGCCATCATAACAACATATTATCTGCAGCATGTTATTTTGTATTTCTTTCACAGCTGCAGTCTTGCAAGGATGTTTCATCTCTGTACAAAGCTGTTTTTGAATTTGTTTCTTGCAGTTGTTTAATTGATATCAAGTACTGCGTTCCATATTTGAAGTGCAGTGTAGTGATAACTTTGAATTTCATTAAATCCATCGTTATCTATTGAGTGCTGGTCCACATTGACTCATTGCAAAAGGATACTTTTATAACCCCAGAACTTGACTGAGAAACATCGCCTCCTCTCTTCAGAGCTGTTTTCACATATGCACTTATATGCACAATTTGGAATATATTTTAGGACCGTCTCTGAAATACAAAGTTGTAAGGGAGAGGGTTGGGTCTCATTAGGTAGGAAAGGATGTAAAAAGGACGCTGCGTCGTAATGCCTGTACAAGATATCCAAGATGGCAGGCAGAGCAGGGTCCAATGCTATAATGCCAGTTATTTCCTTTATATCAGTGCTACCTAATTGGATATATCCACAGTATCAACTCAAATGAAAAACAACATAATGGTGAGCAAAAAAAAAAAGAGCACGATCCTGCGTTATAACATGCACAATGATTGCACTGGTTTCTCATTGTTCATGCCATATAAACCTAATCGACCCCCTCCTGAATGCTGGGGTAAAATTTCACTGGCTTTCATTAAACTGTGTAAACAACCATGGGTACATTTTAAACAGGCTTCAACATTGTCTCCATTGCAACACTATACTTCCTGTTTTCATCCACCATAGTGCTCTAACTGGTTCTTCCATTTTTATTTCTTGTGTTTTCAGCCACCATGGTGAGAGTCCGTGTCATCAGAAGAAATGTTTGTTCCACTCCTGGTTCCACTCCTGGTTCCAGTTAGTGCTCCTGATTTGTTTGCTGCTCTTAGTCTTGTGTTACATTCTGTCCGAAAGCTCTGTCTCGTGGTTGGACAGTTTCCCCTCGCAAGAGCACTACAAGAAGTTTTTCAATCTGACCAGACAGATTTACAACCGTCCTAATCTCATACCACCTTATGAATCGACTACCCTGCCAACTACTGAAGCACCCTCTTGGCCTCAGTATCACCAAGCCTACCCACGCAACTACCACTTCATCATGGATAACACAGAGGTATGCAGCAGCCCAACCCCTTTCCTTGTTTTGATGGTTCCAGTAGCACCAAATAATGTTGCAGCTCGTGACGCTATTCGGCAGACGTGGGGCAACGTGAGAAAGGTTCAGGGCGAGGTGGTGCGTACTCTGTTCATGCTGGGTTCTTCTGGAGGAGCTAACGTCGAGCAGCAGCAGCAAAAGCTCAAAGAGGAGAATGTGAAGCATCGAGACCTAATCCAGAGCGCCTTCAAGGACACTTACAGCAATCTAACCATCAAGACCATGGTTATCATGGAATGGCTGGTGACGCGCTGCCCTTCAGCAGCCTATGCCATGAAGATTGATTCAGATATGTTTCTGAATATTGACAATCTAGTGATCATGCTGAAGAAGCCAGGCATCCCAAAGCATAACTACCTTACAGGGATGCTCATGTGGAACCGGCCAGTTGTGCGCTCAAAGAACTCCAAGTGGTATGTCTCTGAGCAGATGTATCCAGAACCAAGGTACCCAACCTACACCCTGGGCATGGGATACGTCTTCTCCAATGATCTTCCGGAGAAATTTGTGGAGATATCAAAATCAATAAAACCCTTCAACATTGAAGATGCTTATATTGGAATGTGCATGAAAAAGCTTGGACTTGGACCCACATCACCGCCAGATCCCTCCCAGTTTCAGGCCTATAACACACAATACAACCGCTGTTCATTCTCTAAGGTCATCACATACATTCTCGCGACCTCAGAACAGCTGGTGAATTACTGGACTGATTTAAAGAAACCAGGACCTCCTTGTTTAAAAAAAAAATAAAGAATTCACTTTGGTGGAATATGGGATATTAATTTATTTAATGATTTCTAATGTTCTGGTGTTAAGTTTTCCATTCTCATATGAGACCACTTTTGAGTAGTTTTGACTACTAATGTTACTGTAGGCAGATATTTTGATGAGCAGGCCTCTTAAATGTACAAATACATGATTCTTTTGTGTCTGAACATTTAGATTTATTGTAGCGTATCTTAATGCTATATGAAGGAAGCAATGAATTATATTCATATTAAAATATGTACATTTGTTGTTAATGGCACAGAAATCTTAGCTCGTCTGTACATCTCTCTTCGTGGACTTTAGAAAAACACTTCAAACTACAACTACCTGGCAGATAATGTTATTTTTCTAATTTAAATTAACTACTAAGGTCTCACTATTCTATTGAACACACCTCTTAAACAAAGTTATTCAACATGTCACAAACACCCTTGCCTTTTTATTCTCTGAAAATGCACTTCATTTTCTACATTTAGGCCATTGTGTTTTTATATATATTTATATTTATTTATATATATATATATATATATATATTAGTTTTATGAATCATTACAAAAGTTAGAAGTCTGACCATCCGTTTTATTTTAAGACATTTTAGTTGCAAACTGCAAGAATTGCAAAAGACTATGTTTCTTACCACTCATGGTTGTTGGGTAAAGATTTACAAGACTACATGTAGCTTCCTGCAGAGATTATTTTTGATCTTGCTCCTGGTGGAAATTTAGATGGAGAAAAACAAACAATATGTCAGAAACGGTGTAGTGCCATTCAATCCGATGCAAATTAATTAAGATATCCCAAGTCATTTTATAAGTTTTAAAAAAATATATAATTTATATATATATATATATATATATATACATACATACATACAGAGAAACAAAGTGGAAAACGATTGATAATTTCAAAGTAACGTATCCTTTAGACAAGCACAAACCGATCTTAAGACATTATGTAGGTTATATTGACTTAAGTCTTCATCACACAACCATTTCAAAGTGTCTGTCATGATTTGGTCTTTTTTAGTTTTGTTTAGTGTTTCTTCATGTATGTATTTTGTAGTTGTCCTCAGTGTTTATTGTCTTGTGCTCATTCCTTCCTTTGTGTGTTTCCCTCCATTGTGATTGCCCTCATTGTCGTCACCTGTGTTATTAGTCTCACTTGTGTTTGATTACCCCTTTTATATTTAGTCTCAGTGTTTCTTCCCTTCCGTGTCAGTTCGTTCTATGTGTTTGTCGGTGTCGGTTTACCCGTGGGTCCGTGTTTTCTCCTGTTTGGATTTTTGGAAGAGAGTTTTTGTTTGCCTTTTTGTTTGAGTCAATATTTTTGTTGATTCTGCATCTGGGTTGTCCTCTTGGTTTTCCCAATCCATGACAGTGTCTCACTTTCAAGGAGATATGAAAATTTGTTATTACAGGCACAAAAATCTTTCCTCTTCTGTACATATCTCATCATGGACTTTAGAAAATTCTGCTAACACTTACAACTAAATATTGAATTCCCTCAACAGGCACAAATGCAAACCAATTAAACAGTTAAAGGAGATAACACTGTATGACATAGAGCCATTTGTCTGCTGAGATAGGAGAGCAGTGCTTTTGTACTTAAATATTAATAGTGAAAACAACAGGAAAAATTATCATTGTAGAAATGTTTTTTTTATCTTTTCATTATTTCTCTGTGATGAATTGGAAATGGTAATGGTAAATGGATTTGAGCTGGTAGAGTGCTTTTCTAGTCTTCTGACTACTCAAAGCGCTTTTACACCACGTCACACCAATACCCATTTACACACGTGATGCCAGAGGCTGCTATGTAAAGTGACCATCAGAAGTAACTAATCCCATTCTTAAACCAACGATGGAGCAGTGATAGCAACTTGGGGTTTAGTGTCTTGCCCAAGGACACATCGAACTTGTTGCCGCAGTAGCTGACCTTCCGGTTGAAAGACAACGACTCTACCAACTGACTGAGCCACAGCTTATGATGTCTAGGGATCATTATTAACCCAACAGTTCTTGTTTGTCTTTGGTATAATCTGATATCCAACTTCTGTGGAATGTTTGGTATAACGCAGCAGAAATTGAACATGAAACATATCAACTGGTTTTGGAATTTTAATCGATGCAGAGCTCCGTGGCCTGATTATCGGATCTTTAATGTTAAGATCGTTTACCAATCCTAATCAGTTCGTCTTTATTCCTCTAACTTGTAGGCCTTTAGTTAGGCATTCATTAACTGTTGACATTGTTTCCTTAAAACATAAAGGAATGAGGACCGAAGTTTACAATTACTCAGTCGTCGACGGAGTGATGCTAAGATGTAACTGGTTGCAGTAGATGAGATCATCACAGATTTGGGATCTTTTTAAGGACCTTTCAAAGGTTTTAATAAATGTTTTCTGATGCTTGGTGCATGTGTTGACAATGGCCTGTTACTGTCTGGCCTTGGTAATATGGTTTAGATGTGTTGTCATAAAAAAGGCAAACCAATCCTTTTTATGTTGCAGGTCAAATTGAACCTTTTTATAGTTAAAAAGAATCAAGGAAAAATGTTTGTAAGTAGTTTTTCAATATGAAACTTCTTCTGTTGGCCCTAATTAGTCTTAACTTAAAATAGATGGTTCAAAAAACTTCATCGTGACTCAGAAGGTGCAAAACAAAAGGAGGGAGGGTGGGACTTCCTATGCGGGTTATGGATTTGAGTTGGCATGCAGAATGAGCATTTGGTGGGCTGGGACAGTCTCAGTTTTGGGCTCCTCCTGGCTAGAGGGGCCGCTCACTGTGGCAGTACTGGGTGGTGGAGGGGTGGGGGTTTGCAATCAGCTCACAGTGGATGAAAGGCTGCTGGCATTCAGAGGTCGCTCCCCTCCTCTACATGCAGGAGAGCTGATTTGAGGAGTCCCAGAGAAGAATCTTGAAGAGCATGACAAGTTTGACGTGCAAAATTCATTTGCACAAAGCACACTTTCTTTATATTAAAGATAGTTTATTTTTTCATTTCTTGTTCTAAACCTTCTCAACATACTGTAGCAGAGATAAAGTTTACCTTCAATACAAATCCTCATGACTCGTTTGGCTTGCTTTTAAGTGAACAGGTCAATTTGACCCCGAACAGAAGAGGTGTCTCATTTCTCTGTATCAACATCACCCCATGAAAAAAAGTTTTAAATAAAAAATGAAAATACTGAAAGGAATGAATCTTAAACTAATGTATTTTATATCAAGGATTTTCCAATGTACATACAAAATAGTTTGAACATGTGTTTTTTTTAATAAAAAATCAGCTGGATTATCCTAATATAACTATGAGCTGTGAAAGGTGAATAACAACATTGCACATCATTTTGATTTCATTGTCAGTAATGCGGTACAAACACATTTATTAGGATTTTTTGGTTTCTGACAACTTTTTGATGAGTAAACATGCACCAGGTCACATTATTGCTGTCCCTGACAAACGAACAGCAGGAGGGTTAAAAAAAGAAGTGGAAAAGTTATCCTGACTATCAGTTAACTATTCAGCAGGGAGTGTTTTTTTTCCCACTTCTTTTGTTTGTGACAATGGAAGGCATATCAGGTGGCATTCATGTCTGACATTTGTTGTTGAGCAACGCCTCATATTTGATATTCAAGACCATGCTGACCATACAATGATCTTTGTTTAACAGTTTGAATGGAGTCTGATACAGAAAGGGAAAAAATCATTACTGAATCAGTATTAAAGTAGGTTATACCTTTGTTTACCTGACAGGGTATGTAGGCGTACAAATAGTCCTAACTGCAATGTATTAATGACCAGTAAAACTATACGTGACGTTTCAAAAAAATCTAAAACCGAGTTTTAATAAAATCAATGGGATTGATGGGTCAATCAAATGTGGCTTTCTGCATTATTTGCAGATCACATTATAGATTATAGACCAAAATGCATGGTAGGAAGTGTCACCCGTGTAGGAAGTGTCATCCGTGCACTCAGGTCTTCTTGGGCATATTTTGATGCTTTGGTTAGTGATTTTTCTTTATTCACACTGGTGGTGTGTAAAATAGGGAGAATTTAAATTAAGAAGTCTGTAAAAAAAAATCTATCAACCCATCAATTAATCAATCTTTATTTATGCCAATTCACAACAAATGTTATCTCAAGACACTTTATAATAAGCAGGTAAAAAAGAGAAAAAAACAGAAAGAAAGGGTAAAAAGGCTTGGTGATCTCATCAAAAAGCTTATTTTGTGGACAAACAGTACACATTAATTTATTGTGGACACATTTATACATATTTTCAGTTAACTGTCACACAAGACAAAGAAAAGTGACAAACTTTCATCATTTAATAGATAAAACAATTCATTGTTGGCAACTTTAAGACTGAAAAGTGGGTAAAACATATAAAACAGATCATCTGAGTGTGTTTGTATTTGCCAGTAGAGGGCACACATTAAGTTTCAATTTTATTTATCCAAAAACAGATATATTTACAGTGTAACAGCAGCAAAGAGCAATAATAGCAAAGGCAGAAGACTGTAATAACAGTCTATGGTTTTATGTAAGTTAGGAGTAAGCCTAACTGAAACACAAGTAAGTTAAATTACAACATCAACGCTTACCATTTAGTTGTGTTTAAATAGTGTTATTAATGCAATATGTTTGGGTTCTGCACTGTTCAGAAATGACGTGATTTCATTAGTTCTAGTTTTCGCCCTATTACAATTTAATTAAATCTAGTCAATGAATCAAACAATGTACAAATTCACTTGAAATAAAACCACATATTAGAAGTCAGACCCTTGAGCTGACCTTCTATTTATTCAACTTTATGAGCAATTCATTGAGAAATAAAGCCTTTGACACATGTATATTTGAAGATAAAAGACAACCTAGCCTGGAGGTATAGCCTAATGTCTCTTCTGCTGCAGAATCTCTCACCTGTGACTTTATCTCATTCTGCTGGCAGTGCGTTCTTTCTAGGAGATTTCAAATGTGTTACTTGTCTTCAGGTGATTCTCTACGTGTGTTTATATTAATCCGTCCTTGTTGAGCTCTTCTCTTTAAAACCTGACGCCTCTTCTGCTCTCTCGCCTGTCCGTTTGTAAAGTGTAAAGCAGGAAGACAGAGGAGGCGGAGCTGAGAAGACTGCTTGATAACATTGTCAGGAAGTAACGGCACGTCATGCTCCCGTGTTTATAGCGAAAAGCTTTTTGGATGGGGTAATGCTTATCTTAGCTCTACTGTATTTACTCCATGCTTTACATGTAGTTTACACGTTATAGCCGATTAACTATTAAAAATAAGTAGGCTAAGTTTAGAGGATTCATTACCCAGACACTTCTTCCTGAAATTAGGAGTGAGTAGCAACAGTTTACTTTACTGCGCTTCAGACTCAAGGCATTTTCATATTGTTGACACATCAGTGTTGAACATCTTCCGC